CGGAAAGGGCTAGCCTAGCACTACTATCAGCTTATCAAGAATATCTGATGACATTTAAATTGATGACGTCACAAGTGGTACAAAGAGCACGACCACTAATTACGCATATATGCGTAGTTGGTATTCAAAGGGTTAAGAAAGTGCACAGTCTGTACGCATGGTGTTTCATTGTTGGCCAGACTTATGAGATGGGGCAATTTTTTTGTATTTTTTTAAGTGTCGGTTATTACGGTCTCATTTCAACAGACTAAGCCTTTCGTTAATGGAATCGAAGTTTTACTACCAACAAAATTGCAAAACAGCGTAAACAATCACAGCGGGACATGCACGTATTCGGACTGGTGCGTCTTACGAATGGTGCATATTGAAGGCATTTAGCAGCTAATGATAGTTGACAAATTCGCCTCAGTCCTTAATTTTTAAATCCTGAGTTGCCAGGAAACGGCTGGTGTTTTAGGATGGACTTTCAGGAATGGCTACAAATGGGAATTGTCTTTTATGAAACCAATAAAACAGCAAGCAACATGGCCGAGTTGTTTAGGGGGCTGGATTTGAAATCTGGAGGTCCCTGGTTCTAATCCTGCACCCTACCTTTATCTGGATTTGTTCTCGGTAGCCCCGAGTTCAACTCCTTGACGGCGTTGTGTAAATAGCCAACTGGTCAGCCTCCCACCAGTTGGGATCCTTATTAGATTATGTTAGATTTGAAATATTTGTTTATTTATTTACAGTGTCCCCAATTAGTACGACAGTGCTAAATACATTTGATAATTAAAGTTTTTATTTTACTTATTTAGTCATTTAATAATTCTAGCTCTCATTGAATCGCAGGATTCCACAGCGACCAACGACATAGATTCGACACATGACTTGGAAAAAGAGAAAATCAGCATTCCTCCCTTAGAGTTCACAACCCAACGGTCTCATCGAGATGAGTTTTCCCTGAAGAAGCACTGGTACTATGATATAATGCAGCGAATAGAGGACTTGAGCTGGAGTTATCAAAACTTGGAGGTAGAATATTCCTTCTTGGAGAAGCTCATGGCTGAACAAAAAGAGGATCTGAAGAAGGCAAAGAACTGGAGTAAACGACTCCCCAATCAGAGTACGTCGAACAGAGCAAGCAAGGTTCACTGATGACTGAAATGATATCAGGAGTTTGTACATATCTATAACGTGTACAGTAATCGGACTTTTGTCTTGTTTTTAAACGGGTCATGGTAGGGAGTTTAAGTAACCACGACGGCGACGCCGGGGACAACGTTAGTTTGAAATGATTTTATACTTTACCTACGAATCTCGCGGTACTCTGAAGTCATTTACTTTGTTTATCACTGTCAAAACTATAACGAAACTAAATCTGGGACAGAGCGATAAATTCGAAATAAAAATTTAAAAAATTAACCGTCGTGGTTCACGTTCTTTAGAAACGCAGAATTTGGTCATTGCAGGTTGTTGTTTTGCAAAGGACGGCAAAGAAATGTACCAATAATTATATCGCGCGTGCACAGCCATTTTTTCTTTAGCGACGTTGCCGTTGCCGTCGTGGTTTTCTTGAACTCCTAGTGATGGGACGGACAGCTGCGTTGCTACAATGTTGGGTTGAACAAAGATCAAGTACTTATTTCTCTTTCTAATGCTTGTACACTGTAAAGCAAAGTTGTGACGAGAAGAGAGAAGAGTTAGTTTAGAGCGGTTTTTAAATGAGTGTCGTCAGACCAAAACTAAAGTAATATAATCACTTTGCCGGCAAATCACAAAGGACACAGCAATCTAGTGAACCAATCAAAAACTCGAGCCAAATACATATAGCTGACGCGTAGCGCGGGGAAACTTGTGTGGGCGAGTCACGATTGTTCTGGTTTTCTGCACTCAGTCAAAAATAACTCTATTGCCCTGGTGGTCTTCCGTTCTCTGAGATATACCACTAATAGAATAGTGCCTTGCTATATTAAGTAATTAAGGAGACAAGTTTGATCATTTAGCCGTAGAGCATTCGCCATCATTGGAAACATTACTCCACCGGAAAATACCTGGAATATTATTCGAAAGAAACGTTAGGAGGCTCCGCACTTTCTATTGAGCTAGCCGGAGCTCTGCAGCTTTTAATCTCTATGGACCTTAATTGGCAAAGACTTTCGTTCAACGTTTTGTCAGTATAAATATCTCAAGAAGGAAGTCGTTATCTGGTTTTTTATGTAAAATAGAGCTCTTCCTCATCATTACTTTTTTCGCTAATTTATTGGTTGGTCTATTTGCTAGGTATAATAACAATATTATCGGTAATGTAATTTGCAGTGAGTAAATTTATCAGTTTTATTTTTGTCTTTCTTAGATTAATCTATTCATGTTGTTATTATTATTATAAGATTGCTTGTTTTTTATGACTATTCAATAAAATTTCGCTTTATTAGGAAATTATCTTAGTTCTTGTTACTGAAATCAGAACTTATCTTGTAAAATAGCTAGCAAACCCGCGCTATCAAAGTCTATATCCGTAAGCGCACTCTCGTCAGCTCCTTGAAGAACTCTTTAGCTTCTTTCGTACTGTCCAAACTTCATGCGTGCATCGTAAATAGATGATGCACACTTAAGAATGAATCAGCTGTTAACTAGCAAACAACCTTTTTGCAAGACTAATGCCAAGTCCGAAATTGAAGATATATATAAACAATACCCTCCATTTGGCGGAAAAATCATGCTCGGTTATTTGCCAGCGGACTTTATCTGTTTCGAGAAGCGAACCCCTTTCAGGAACAGGCAATGTCCAAGGACAAATATCCGAACATATTTACGTGCCCAGTGGAGGCTATTGTGTTAATTATCCTTCAAATATTTTCCGCAACACGGATATCACTCGGATATTCCCCAGGCTTAGTTGGGGTATATTCACTGACTTGTCGGGCCATCAGCTTGCGGTACACTAGCCGATCTTTTATCGTGACTAACCGCGTTGCGGCTTGGGGCCGAGTCATCCAAAATTAAGAAGGCGCCTATTCCACTGACGTAACTCTCGTGACATTTCCTAGTTGGCTGAGGCGCTCGCGAACCCCGACAAATTGTCTTGGTCCACTGCACACTAGCCGACAAGGCCTGACGAGACGTTTTGAGGTCTGGCACTGTCAGATATCGCCCAACAAGCCCCGATCTTGTCGCAGACTTGTCTGAATTAACCGCACACTAGCCGACCAGTGAAGATATTTTGTCGGCCGACAAAAAATCGGCTAGTATGTGGCGGCCTTAAGTCTCGATTCTGCGCTCCTATTGTTGTTGCGCCCACGTGCGCTAGCTTGTTCGACAAAAAATGGGGTTTGTTTTAATCATTTATCGACTTTCGAGCCTATATGCGAGTTTATTATACACCTACGGCTGCAAGTAGTACTGTACAGTATTTCAAAACTTGTTTCTAGTAGTGACTGTCTAGTCAATGAAGGCGGCACTTCTATTACAGCTTCCAAAACGTCAGAGCCTGAAACAGGTATAAAACGCACCTGAATTCCTTAGTTATTAAAGAGCTGAAGTCATTTTATCAATTCGACAGTACTGTGATTATCTAATTGAGTTGATTAGGAGCGCGCAAATTAATCGGCAGAGATGACGTCATAATCCTAATATTCTTTAATGGCCCATGTTATGGCCAAATAGACATGCCTTTTGTAGCTACAGGAACTGTGGGAGAGAAAGAAAAAGAGATAGTGTTGTCCCAAACGAGAAGGTATGAGAAAATTCCGTTACGTTTACACAGTATTGTCTATCAACCTTTATTTTGCGTTCTTTTGATTGAACAAGATCTTCTGAGCGTGCGCAGTAATTCACGAACGTAACTTCGTCATCAAAGCTTGTCCCTTACCGTTCTTTCAAAATGATTCCATTTCCTTGAAAATAGTCACGATTATTTAAATTTTTAGAAAGCACCATAAATGAGATGATCTCTTCATAGTAATCTTGGTCTCTTGTTGTAAGACTGAGGAACAAATCCGACGAAAGTAACATGCGTGACTTGACAAACTTGAAATGAAGCCACTGGCCTATCTCAAGTTTTCAAGCTAAATGAATGACTAAGCGCGCGCGGTATATGTTGCGAAGGACCTCTCGCCTGTTACAGTAAAACGTGGGAAGTCCTTTTGATAACAAGAAGATATGACAATTTTATTGCAGTAGTCGTCGGCTGTCTTAATTGTTCGACGAAAATAGTAGGAACACTTTTCAGGAGGCAGTCTTTAGACGATTTGCTCGACACGTAACCTTCGCGAAAGAGATTCATTTAGCAACCACATTATTTCCATATAAGGCTTCCGCTGAAGATCGATTAAATTTGGTTATTGTAATGCGTTGTTTGGCTTTCGCATTTTAGAGGCTCTCGTAGCCGAAGAAATCCTTTTCTTCTGGCAGCTGACCACTGAAATAATTTAGAAGCCATTTGATGATCAAAGTGAAAACCCGTATCAGCAATTTCTGCTTTCGTTTTTACAAGAAACTGCTTTAATGAAAATCATACTTCAAAACACCAATTCGTTAAAAGTTGCTAGGCAACCGTTAGTTTGTGATAATTCCGCGGGATTACAGTACTCTTTGAAGTGGGTGACTCGGCCTACAAGAAGAAACAAAAAAACTGAGAGCTTTATATGAAACCCTTTTCTGAGCAGTTTTCACGAATACCTGGGGATTAAAAAAGCTGAACCGTTCTTCTAGCAATACTGTACAATTCAACGCGTTGTTTCAAAGTTTGGCTTTATTGGTAGATCAAATATTTATTAGGTGTTAAAGTTTACTTTTTGCGCGAGCGTTTTACAACGGTTAAAATGCATGTTGTGTGTGGAGTTAAGTTCTGCTTTTGATTCGAATACACAAGAGCTTCAGAATAACAAATTCAACAAACTTCAAAAGTATGTGGCTTATGTTTGGCCCTCATGACCTGATAATTAAAGCGATAGCGTGATCACTGTGTTAAACGTTTACATAAGTTACAGACTGTCGCGAATTGCGCTGCGTTAACGAACCTATAAATCAACAAAAATTTTCGCTACGCTTTCAGGTTATCGGCGTGTGAAAATCACTGCTATATTTAAGAGGTGATCGCAGTTATTCCTCTAAACCTATTAATTAGAAAACGTTTCTAACAATCCTATGCTCCGATTCGTTCAGTACTGTAATCACTAGCATCAGTACTATTTATGCCAACCGAGAGTTTATGGAATTCGCTTAAGACCGTTGTAGCAGTGAAGAGATTTAAAATATTCCTGCTCAAGGCTAGGAAACATAACTTTTTAAATACCTTAGTTCTCATGATGTGGCTACCTTCGCTTCTCTAAACACGGACGATTTCATACAGACTTTATTCAAACTAAATGTTTTGTTCCAACGGAAGAGAAAGATTATCTCATCAAGTCATTGTTTCACATAGGAGAAATGTTCTTGCTTGCAATTTTGCTGTTTGCCTTACAATTTGGTGCGTGCCGCACGAATGTTGACGCTCTGTTAAGCCACTGAAAACATTTCCCGACTCTTACTATTTGGATGTTAGGAAAAATTAACACAGAAATTAAAACAAGTCAATAACTCATTAGAGTAGGAACAAAACAAGGAATTTGCGAGATTACTTCACAGCAGAAAGCTCCAATAACGAGCTGGTGTGCTTGGCTTTGAAATAAGCCCAAAACAATTTCCTCTGTGATAAAGTAATCCAGGCACACAATTGTTAGCGCATTAAATTATCATCTCTGTACCCGTGCAAAATCAAATGGCTCGGTTCAATGCTGTAGGTGATGTGTTTATAATAAGCAGTGCCTAGCAACGCCTGGAAAATCGATAAAATAAATGGGGTTGTCCAAAATTAGGAATTTATATATAGAATGCTTCGTTTTGCCTCGAGTTTCGTTCCCTGCTGATTTTAGTAAATAAAATTCAATCATTAATGTGGCTAACTTCTTTTCATAGTCTTTTCGCCTTTTATTTATCTTTGTTCCCATAATTTTAATTCGGGCAACCATAATAGATATTTTATTCTTGGACTGATAAGATGAGCCCGACTGCCATTACTTTGATCATAAATAGCTTTTAACCGTTGCCGTGGTAAACGAAGTACACAGCAAACAGCACACCATTAAATGCTTATGTACACGCGAAACAAGACTGTTCGACTGAGAGCTATTGCATTAAATTTTTCGGGGGATGTTAACTTATCTTTTTCATGAATAAAGTTGTTATCCTCTGCGTCGGAGAAACTTTTTCGATCTCTTAGAGTCTGCTGTTTACTTCATTCCGCAAAAACAGTTACATGCACTAGTGTTTCATATGTATATTCGAGTGGAAATAAGGCTTTTATTTCTCGGAAAATATAACAGGTGACAGCTCGTGCAATAACTTCGATATCACCTGTCTTGAAAACCGATATCATCAGCAGTAAGGGGTGCATTCATTAGTTTTCTGAATCTCTAACCGCAATGGATTATACACCATCTAGTGCCAATGGAAGGTTTAAAATTTTAACAATTGGATATTTATAGAAACTTTTTACCACCTGCCTGGAAAACAGGCGGATGATAATTTAAAGAAGCTCTCGTTATAACAGAACAAAATGAACCGAACAAATTGAGCTTGAAAATTCAAACAATGCTGCTGCGAAAATTGTGTTTCACACTGCACGCTATCCTTCAAGTTTATTGAAAGAGCTTATTTTTCCGCATTGGCTCAAAGAATAAGTAATCAATCTTGATTATCACACATGGGGTGTTAGCTTACAGAATATCTGCTGCAACAATACGCCAAGAAAAGGTTTTAATTGGAGGTTGAAGTTTATAAAGTATTTATGATTATTTTCCCCGTTCGGAACGAAAGAAGAACTTCTACATCCCTTATTTTTTCTGCTCTTACTCAAACTCATTCCATTATTCGACACTAAGTTGTTGTTTCTGCTTAAAAATGTTTTCGTCTCTACAAAACAGACGAGCACGTGGGTTTTCAGACGACCGGAAGTGAGAGTATCAAAGACGGTGGATTTTCCGAAGCCAATCAAAGACCAGAATTTCCAAAGCTGCACCAATAGGCGTTCGGGTGGTGGGGCCGCACGGTTACTTAGCAACTAACGACGCCACCGGATATAAAGCAAGTTTTGGTTACACTAAACAGACATATTTTCACACTCCTCGATAGCAACTTTCTAGGAGTTCCAGAAGAACTTCTTGACGACTATCTTCGAGTTTTCCGCGCTTCATTCTTACAAGAGGAAGTCATCCGTCGATATACCACGCGCTATGACTCAATCCTTCGTGGAAACAGCGAAGTTTTTAACTTCTTCGACGTTTGATCCTCCGCCGTATCTAAGGCCACCTGGCGGACCTTACGAAACAACATACACTGCTTCGTTCCAGACTGGCCGACCTTACACATCGCCTCATTATTCGTTGAGGCCGTTGTCAAGATCTTTTGAGTTCCCTTCAAAGATTCTGAATGGATCATCGACTGGCTTAGAACATTTACCGTACACTGCCGTCACCCAGCGAGCCATTCACAAATATTCGCCGCAGCAATGGCGAACGTCGAACGTTTTGAATGTATCTTCAGGGGAGAAGGAACGCGCGACAGCGGAGAGACTGCGAGATGAATGCTCGCGGCTCCGAACAGAGACTGCTCTTCTCACTCACCGTACCCAGACAGATGTTAACAAGAAGCTGGAACACCGCATCCACGATATCACCTACTGGAAGACGGAGCTGGAGAAACAACACGCGGAGACTGTGGCGGAGATCAAAGCGTTGCAGGCGTTTATCGGTCGCTTAGAAAAAGCTTTAGCGGCGACAGAAAGGCCTTTGAACGTCTCTAAGCAGTGTCTGGATTACAGAGAAAGGAGAGTGAAGATCGATTTAGTCCACGACAATGTGGAAACGCATATCAGCAAGGTAATTTCCGCAATTTGTTTTGCAGGCTATAATCTCAAGGTCCTGGCGCCATGATTAGCCATTGTACAGCATTGTGTCACATGTTATTCCACACCAGGGCAATCATCTTCTCTTATCTCACCAATTAATGATTTTAGCTAATGATTTTCAAGGGGATGCCGAAAGACTGCTGGGTTTTGTTCGGGCATTATAAATGTTTTAAGTATTTAAAATGCTCGGGATGGTTCCATTATGAACAGAGATGAGTTATTCTGTGGGCGAAAATTTGTTCCCATTTTATTATAGGTGACAAATTATTTCACGTTATCGCTCAATTAAAGTAGCACCAAAAACACCTTAAAAATATTGGCCATCTCTTGATACCAAAGCTCAGGGGTTCATTATTCTAATTTTCTGAGCAGATGGCAATAGTCAATACCTTGTTTTACATGAAGGCGTTTTGTTTTGTATTTCGTGGTCAGTGTGATCATATCACAAGATAAAAGAAACGTTGCGGGGAAACCCCTCGAAATCTCGCCAAATTATCGAATAAAAATGTGGAGCGTATAAAAATGAGAATCTTTTTCCTTACTTGTTGTCTATTTCGCTTGAATGGTCAACAGTAAATACCTACTGAAGCGTCGTAACGCCGACCATTGTTTGTGTACATCAACGAGAGTTAAAAATTTCATATCAATCTGCATGTGAGGTGATACGTAGAGACATTTCCTGCAATGAATCATTTTAGAATTTAGTGCGAAATTCCATATCTTATCAGCAGTCTACTTTTTGTCGTTATTCAGACTGCTAGATTGTTTTTATCCTGACCTTTGTGTTACAGATGTCCCGTTATATACCGAACGAAACGAAGCTGGTTGCTATGGCAACCGACTCTCCTTTGCATGCTTGCTTGCATATCACGACTACATTCGACTTTCTTACTTTAATGTACTTACAAAACAAGAGGCGAAGCCGAGATAATTGCAAATCGTTTCCCCACCTTACTTGAAAAATCTTCTCTAATGCGCTGTTTATGTCTCTGCTTGTTCCAAACTTCCGTTATTGAGGGCAGCGAAAATCGCTGTATAAACTCTATGTTTAAATATGAGGTTCTTGGATCACCATTTCATTAATTGCGCCGCTTGTTTGTTTTTATTTAATCGTCTAGGAAGTCGAAATGATCGAAAACGTGCGAGCTTTACTCAAGAAAACGATGGATCAAGCTCATGAACAGCTGTGGTGAGTTATTACTTCTTTAATTCATTGATTCTTTGTCGCTTCAGTCTTGTGACTAAATTGACCCCTTCAAAAATTTTTCATCCAAGTACTTCAAGATTCCACTGGTGCCAATTTTCGACACCATGTGACATGAGTGTATGAAACCGCATCTACGTAAAACTTTGAGGTTTAACTTTCGATGTTCGTATATATTGGCATTGCCAACATACAGAACATGTTTGTTGGATATTTTCATCGTGTTGCGCATAAATTTGCACGAAAAACATGTAACGCGTTCTAGCAGAGAAAATGGACTACTTTTTTAACTGGTACGCGTACGACTTAAACAAGATTTTCTGTTATAATGAGTTGCGAAAATGGCGAAATGAAATAATCTTGATTGTTGCCAAGCAACCTTTTTATCGCGGGCTCGACCAGATATACCTTGCACAGCCCACGCACAGGCTCCCGCTCGTTTCGCTCGCCGAATTCCTTATTTCGCGCTCGTCGGCTCTCTTCGCAAGCCGAACTTGCAAGCCTGTTCGCAGGCTATCATTTTATTACATGTTCGTTTTACCCAGTTTGAAGGTGTCACTTAAAAGCATTTATTGCATGTATAAAAGTTAGTTATAATTTTATTACAGTTTATCTGATTTGCACAAAAATAATTGTCTTTCAGGCTGTTGCGCTCTGCTAAAACTCTTCTGGAAAAGGACCTTGGTGATAAATATGGATCTCTGGGCATTGATGGAAAATGCACCACCCTGAATAACTTCTCCAAGGACATTCATTTTGCCCCCCACTCTGTCACAATCCAACAACAGTAAGTGATAGGACTTTGTTACATAAATTGCTGTGAAGAACTCAGTTTAGCCCTGCGAATCATTCTTTGAACTCTGACGGTTTTACCTAGCCCCTTTGTCATTTTGCTTCTGTTTCTCGATGTTAAAAATGGTTTCTAAGGAAAGAACGGTTTTGCAAGCTTCTTTTGAAACAAGAAACGGGGAGGCAATTTGTAAATGAGATGTTCCTGTTGTTCCTCACGTTAGAGGTGTGGGTACAAGCTGCTAAGATTCCATACCTAAACTCTAAACAGCCTGTGCTGTTTGCATCGTCCATTCCAAACCAACCGATAACTATTGAAAAATAACGTCTTAGAGTCGAAGGAGATTTAGGCCCCACCTTGGGCTACCTTATAACCGGATAAACAGGCCAGTCTAATCCCTCAAGTCGCTCTGTTTCATTCTTCTCACGAAATAAATTAAAGACATGTAAAGAGGAAGACGTCGTTAAAACGTGAAACCTTTTAAATGCAATTTTTATTAGCAACTTTCTCGCGCTAAATTGCCATTGTTCCAACTTTTCAGCTCCTTCACCCCGGACGAATGGGAAGCGTATTCTTCAGAAAACATTGCCAAAGCTGAGCGAGAACGCAAAGCGTCCGTGGCTCTACGATCAGAGATCAATGGAATCTTGATGCAGACTTACGTTGACCTGAGGAACATCTTTGAGACCGTAAACAATGAGTTCAGCAAGCGCATCGAGGAGACACTGACTGCTAAGAGGTCTCTTGAGAAGGAACTGGCCAGGGTAATGCATTGTTTTGTCTTTTTTTGTCTTTTTTTTTTTTTTTTTTTTTTTGCAGTTCATTTTTCCTCATCTGTCTGCTCATAAAACGCAGGTAGTGTGCCAGAACTTCCTGCACAAAATTGCTGTATTACTCATCATCAGTATTGACTGTTATTCNTTTTTTTTTTTTTTTTTTTTTCGCTTCTTTATCTCAAAGCGGCATAAAATTCAAGGCGGAGAAATCCTTGTCAAAGAAATACCTTACACTGCTACTCCTTTAACCAAGGCCACCCGACAAAATTCTGTTCCAATGGACGAATGAAACCCTTGGAAGTTCACAACAGATTTTCCGCAAACTATTAATCTGACCAAGCTGCGCATTGTAGAAACGGTTATTGTAACCATTTTATCGTTTCAACATGCAGACATCCTTTACCAATTTTTTTGGAAAACCGCGCCAAAAAGTGACAATAAACCAGCTCCTTTAGAGACTTTTGCGAAATTTTCAGGCTGATTTATTCTTCAATAGGCTATGCTGGAAGTAACATCCTTTTGCCCAATCTCATTTAATTTTCTTGGCGTTTCTATCTACGCTACCTTTGCGCAAATGTAGCGGTGATGAAAGCAAGAGAGCTTTAAGTACTAATGCCATTTTCTTTCATTACAGGTGATGGACGAGATAGCGTCTATGGAAAATAACGTTATGTAGCGGTGATGAAGGCAAGAGAGCTTTAAGTACTAACGCCATTTTTTTTCATTACAGGTGATGGACGAGATAGCGTCTATGGAAAATAACGTGCGTGATCTCAGACAAGCTATTGCAGACAAAGAAAACCCTCTTAAAGTTGCTCACACCCGTCTCGACAAGCGCTCCTTGAGACCGAATGTTGAGCTGTGTCGTGATCCAGTGCAGTACCGTCTGGTCGGAGAGGTCGGAGAGATCAACGTCTCCATTGATCGCCTGCGCATGCGCTTGGCTGAGGCCGAGGCTTCCTTAATGTCGTTGCTAAGAAACAAAGAGCGCCTGGAGGATGACATCGAGGTGAAAACCAACAGCCTTTTCATCGATCGAGACCAGTGTATGGTTATCAGGCAACAAGTCCGCCATATTTCTCACTAAAACAAAGGAAAGATTTAAGTCAGCTAAGATGTACGTTAATGAACTCAATGATGTTTTAAGGTCTAATTTTTATTTAAAATTATTGGTTCGAGGCAGGAGACTTTTACCGGTATCGATGAGTTCCTTTCATAAATTCGTTGTCTTGTGACAAATTTTAAAAAAGCAAGTCAGGAATAAAGAGAAAAAGAGAATAACTTTAGCAGGAACTTCCTTGTACATGAAGTATCTATCTAAGAACGGATGACAATGAGAAATTCGAAATAATGTCCAAACGTTTTAAGTTGGTCGAGTTTTATCCAAATATTTTTCGGCATGCACTCTTTGACCGGTACAGGAATTTTACGGATAACTCCATACCTTGTTTTATTTCACTGTAAGTCATATCTAAGTGCTAAACAAGAACGGAGAAGATACGTTATGGGATCCAAATGTTTATGTTCAAGGTCGAGTTCCGCCTCTCTTGCTTTAAGAAATCTTTAAAGGAGTGTTGTTCTGCACAAAATATGCACCTCTGTAACTCGAATTAAGTAACAGGAATTTCCCACTGCTGTATTGAAATTGAAGAGAAAATGAGGAAGAATAAGGATATGGTCGATAAGGAACATGTTTGTAAATTTACTTATAATATATCACTAAACAAAACAATGATGGCTTGGAAATGTGAGAGCAAAGCGCTTTGAACGAAGGCTAATGCTCAGGCAGTTTAGAAAGACGATGGGTGGGGAGGGAGGTCAATAATATCTTTTACAAGTGTTCGATTTAAAGCGCTCCCTAGGAGAAATAATGAAAAGCTAGACTGCATTTCTGGTTGTGAATAACTTTATAATAAACGTGCAATAAATCACTTTTTATCACTAACTCGTGAGGTCACCGTCCTAACTTTAATGAGCGATATATTTTGCGAGTAAAGTTAATTTGCCGTACGCGGGCGCCCAAAATTCCGATCCACCTCCCCACCCTATCCGGCCACCGTTTTCCGATCAGAAACCCCGTTCGCGGGAAACTGCATTCATCGAATACGCTCAGCATTTTCTTTTGTCAGACATTTATTTTAAGTTTACCGCAGCTCAGTGCAAATAGTTTCTTTTTTAATAAGTATTATTTCGTTTTATCTTTCACATCTGGGTCTCATACCCTCTTTATCGCCAAGGAAGATTTTATATTTCGTTTGCGAATCGCTGTTTGAATTTAGATGGGTGATTAGTAGTCCCCTTGGTAGAATAAAGATCGATTGTAATTTTTTTGGAATCTACACGTGTTTTTGCGATGATGTTTTTTTACCGTCTGATTATTATTTCGGGTTCTTTAAATACTTTTCCCGTTTACCCCCGAGAAGCATAATGTACAGGTCCCCCAAGTTCACGATACTCGAGATAGAGCTAGATAGCGAATACGACAAGCGTTCATGAGTCGAGCGTGACATTACAAAGAAAGAATGAATACTTTATTGAACCTCCCAGGGGCTTTTCTTTTTGGTTGTTTTAACGACCAAATACTTAATACTTAAAAGTACTCAGTTCTAGGTCTTGTAGTTGCGTAGCCAGCGTAATAGACTACGAAGTCTCGCTCCTTCGTTCGAAAATCTGAGAGAAGAACGCAAACAAACACAGGCGAGGGTGAGGTCGCGAGTAGCGCGGGCGACGACAGGCGGCTTCGCCGCTCGCCTCTGGGCGTTCTTCCCCGCGGATTTTTGAGCAAAAGAGAGACTTCTCGCAGTCTACCGGCGTAGCGGGCAAGTCTTATTTGTTTTGTTTTTCGGGGGCGGAAATATCATGGTCGGCAAACCTCCAAGACAATAAGAAGAACGGCTTGTGAAAATCTCGGTTTACTTTCTATACAATGTATTAAAGGATATCCTCTCTTTTGTTTTGTCTTTGTTGTTGTTGTGCCTCTTGAGTTTGAGCGTAGCCATCGAGAGGTGCCTGGGAACTAAATTAAATGTTCATGAATTGTATTAGGGAGGGGAGAGTAGGATGACTAGCAGGTGCGTGCATTTTGTGGCAAACCGCCAGCTGCGAAAACACAAATCAGGGACGTGACTGGCTGCAATGGATGAAAGGGTCCCCGATTCTGAACAATTATCTTCGGGAACTTAAGCCGGTGATATCTTCGAGGCAGAGGCGATGGGAGTGTAATTAAGTCTGGTTTGTGATGAAGAAAGCTTTTTAACGGAAGCCGAGGTAAAAGTAACTGACAGTCTCTCTGGTGTAAGCAGAGGTGTATCGGTAAGAACTTTTGTTGTTGTAAAAGGAGTTAGCATTTTATAATACCTTGTTGTCAATCTTCAATCTGATTCAAGCGATCGCAACTGATCAAAGCATCCTAGTTTAATTTACTGTTGTGGCCTATATGCATTTAAATTCTGCATATTCGCAAGCTTTTTAAGTGGTTTTCAGACTGTTTGTTGCTTAACAGAAAAGAATACATCGTTCAGTTTATTTGCGGTTCAAATTTACACTGAAGAGATATACGAATCTATATTCAGATTTAACGAACCGAAAATTATAGAAATAAAATCGGACAACCGAAATGAAAACTGAGATTTCGTGGCATAATTTCCCTTACTAAGGAAAATTTAATATTAAATGGAGTAGCTTTCAGAGTTACTTAATATTTAGTTTTCGTTCGTTCAAGCCGGTTCCATTTGTTGAATAAAGAATCTCCTCTTTGAAGAAATCTCATTAAACAGAACATTCTCAATATGTTTCCACACGTAGATTCAATTTCCATCTTCGCACAGTTTTATTTATTGTTTGTCCCAAACCACAAAAAAACCCACAGCATTTTCGAGATAACTAAGGTTGCAGACCTTTTATCAGACATGTTGTTAGCAATTTGCACTTAATTTCAATCTATAATCCGACAATATGATTTATTTTGCCGAGTGTATCTACGTACCGTGGTTGTGTGATTCACCGCGGTGCACAGAAGAGAAAATCACTACATATATCGTCCAGTTCTATCACTAATTGAATGTCTTTGTCCATGAGTAATTGACATTTTTGGATCGACAAATGGAACTAGATTTCTATTTGAAGTAATGTCGAGTATTTTTAGGGTCACTTTCTTTTGCATCTCCGGAGCCCAGCGGCGCCATTAGATATCGTCCTCTAGCTGAGTTCCCGAGTATTTTCTTTTTTTGCCCTCTGGGAAAATAACACGAAGCTGCATGAATGCTGGCGGGATAATTTTTAATGCTGCGTGAGTTGCCTGTGAGATAATTTCACTGGTTTCTCGATATAATGGCGATTTTACCGAAGCTGATAGACGTTAATGACTCCTCAAACATTGTTTTTTTTTCAAAGAAAAGAAAATTCATTTAGATTGCCAAAATGCGCGCGTGGTGAAAATAGAATTTCAGTAAGTAATGCTAAACCAACCTCGTTAATTCACAGTGCTTTCTCGTTAGAGATTCCCGCCCCTTCCAATCTCTAACGGAAAAGCCCTGGGGACGAGGTTGATACCAAACAAACAATGTTAGAAGCGCTGAGTTGAGACACCACGGCTAACCGCTGACCATGGAGCCCTACGAGTTTAAACTTGAGCATCGGGGGACGGAGAGAGGGTAGTTTTTGTGGTCCCGATTTAATGGTCCCGGACTATATTAAGACCCCTTTAATTTAGGTGTCGGTCGGTGGATTGAACAGGCCTTCGACTCCAAAATGGCGCCAAGAAAACGGTTCAAATAATCAGTCAAATCTTTTAAGATAAAATAATGGAAAGGATACGGAGCATTTAAATTTAGAAAGTGATCGTGTTTGGAGTTTCTTGAGCAATGCCTATTAGCGTTACCAGTCGTAAACGTAAAGATCAAATAATCAGTAACCGGGCTTACCGTATATATGAAAGGGAATATTCTATGGATTTCGGATAGAAAGTGTTTCCGTGCAGCGCTATTTCAGTTATAGAAAGTTTGCAATATTTTCAATAGGCGGTTGATATTTTGCGAGAACTTAATTGCGTCTCACAGTCGATGCCACTATCTTCGTAATTGTGAAAGCCTTCATTCCATTTGTAGCTACTTTTCCGCTTCTTAAGCAATTACTGCTATCAGCCTCATCTCCGATAACCTTAGTGAAAACCTTCAAAATCAGTCCACTCATGAATCGCGGTTTGTTACATCACAAATTGCAAGTATTCACTGTGCAATAGCTAGTGTTGTTTCTTCGTTGAAGATTACAAACTCAAGGACAATATTTCACGAATTGAACGAGTATTTAACGAGCCAGCTGACGACATCAGTAAAGAGGCTTGTGTCAAGGTCACGTGACGCCTTGCTTTTAACTATGTAAACGCCATCATAATCATCAAGTTGATTGTTTTCTGCAATATTCAGCGTCACGTGTGATATTATATTTAAAACCCAAAATGACAAGGTCAACAGTTAATATTTACATCTGCACGTGCTCCATACACCGGTGAAAACACGCAACTGTATATTAGCTTACTCAGGTATCCTTCGTGTACCGTTTTCGTTGTGCACGTGGAAACCGGTTGGCTCGATAAGGCGATTAAACAACATGAAACTTTTAATTCAATTAAATACTTCGTAATCACCTTCATTACGGAAACATTTCTGGAGTGCTCTCGACATTTCGTCCCGCTGACGATTTTTCGCTTACGTTTTAAGTGTTATATACAGAGTAGTTTTTCTATTTAAAGTACTGAACATTCGCTCTGTGACGTTCATGCTGAGTAAAAGGTCAGGAGAAGGCGATCTATATAATTGACTTACTTCACAGGTGGACTTCTCAAGCACGGAATCGTTTTAGTCTGGAGTTTGTACTTTCTGGTTTGTCATTTTGAGCGAAAAGATGTTAAAATGAAAAATACCGCAGTGTAAATTTACATAAAAATAAAAATAGCTTCAAAAGAAATAAGTCTTTGTAACTTACCTTCGTAGCAGTGTTAAAAGTCCGAATTCACAAGAGGTGCGAATTTCAGAAGCGAAAATTGAGCGTTCCCCTCTTTTTTCTTGCATGCGCTCCAGTCTAGTTTTCTTTCTCTCAGTTTCTCGCCACGCCAGACAAGTTAATCAAGCTATCTAGCTTAGCTCCTAATCACTGAATAGTAGAGTAATCAAATGTACTTGTCAGATCAACTCAAAAGAGCTACGACCTAAAGTCAAACATTGATTAATTTGTCTATTTGGTTTTTGTTTCGATGAATAAAACATAAATTAACCGATTTCGCGCTTTTGCATAAATTA